CGAGTGAAACTGCTACGATTATCGGTTAACGGTAACCTTGACATAATCTTGACGCAACTGTAATTTCGTTACTGTTTGTTCCGCTATACAAAAATGATACTTCTGTTCCGTACGTCTTTCTGTGTGCGAATAAGTTGCCCTCTATTTTCTCGACAGGGAAAGGAACTTGAACAAAAAAGTTGTTCGTTGCGGCAAACAAATATCTTGAAGATATTGTGGACAGAAAAATCTGTCTAAAAAAAAACTATTCTTAATTTTTACTATCGATCGTCTTAACGCGCACGGTCGAATTAACCCCTTGACATACCAATTTCTTCGCAGTTACTGCGATTAGAAATTTTTCGATTACCATAATTTCATAGAAGGGAAAGAAAATTGATGCTTATTGCGTGCCTAAATTTACTTGAATGCTTAAATATTGATGATAAGAGATTAGAATTTTATTCAAATTTTAATGGACAGAATAACATATATATTCAATAAGTTATTATTAGAAATTTTCATGACGAGTCGGACTCGTCAAAGTACGTCAAGGGGTTAAAAGAGAAAGGAAATCAGTTAAACGTTGGATGAATTAACTTTGTGATTTTGCGATAGTCAACAGTTTCATTCGATCCCTGTCTTATTTATTCGTGTTTGTTCCAAGCAAAGTCTGCGAAGACCGCGATCGAGCTCGCATCGATCGCGACAGAAATCGAATTTGTTCGACTTCCCTTGAAAAGTGCCTAGACATTGGAGTCTCCGATCGAAGAAAGCCACCCGGTTAACAAGTTCATCGCGCCGACCTCGACGAAAGGCGCCGCGTATTTTCAGAGTTTCAACCCTCGAGTGATACCTTCCGGACTTCTACAACGCGAGCAAAATTTTCTGCGAGAAATACGAAGTTTCTTCGACACATTTTGAACGTTCGTGGATTCTGCAGCCTTGATCTGTATACTCGAAAAGTATTTTTAGCAAATGTTTGCATTGAACCTTTGCACGGGTTCCGTGTCGCCTAATTCTAGGAAGCAGGGTACCATTTCGGGTTCTAAAGAAGCTCTAACTCTTCTATCGGGACTAAAGGATCTCTGTGACAGAATCGTTTTTGTTTTTGGTTTTGTTTGGAAACTCCGGCGGCGTTCTTTGTAGAGTGGGAGACTCCTACTTGTCGATTTGATAACATGTTTTTCGTGATGGAACCGGGAGAAAGTTGACCGAGAAATTTAGGAATCGAGGCAGCTTCGCCTCGCGAATCAGCCATCACACATACGGCGTGCCTTTTTTACCGTGTAATAGAACCGCATCGTCGGCGGATCCGAGGATCACACTCGTTCGCGTTTTGCCGGTTACTCTCTATTTTATTTACGTTTGTCTCGTTGTTCTCGGTTTATCGCGAGGAATGGTAGAAAACAATCGCGCGCGAGAATCGGACGATCGCCGAGTGTTATTTTGAAAATCGCGGATCTTTGTAGCGGATAAGATGCGAGAATAATATAAAAGTGACCGAGGGCGAGAGATTAAATGCCAGTTTAGGAAGCGAGCGAGAAAAGCGGCGGCACAAAAACGTATGAAAGTAAATGAAAACCACAATGTGATTTAGTCAGTAAGCGAAAACCCCATTAGAGTATGTGTATATACACATATAAATATATATATATGTATATATAATATTATATATATATATGTATGTATATACGTATATATGTAGCGGTACGGTGATGACGACACGTGGATGAGCACCGCATATATAGAGTTATGTATAACCCTATACATGAGATGATAAATATTACTATTATAATGTAATATTATATATATATACATATATATATTTAAATATATATAAATATATATATATATTTACACATATATGTATATGTTATATATATATATATTGTCTACCGACCAGAGCGGAGAAATCTTTTTTTACGAATAATTTTATTTTTGAATGAAATACGATGAAAAATAAAATTTCATTATATTGAACGTAACGCAGTGTACACGTTTTTTCCCGAGTTCCACCCCCTGTCCCGAGCCAAACAATTCATTGTAATTATCAACAGGAACGAACGTATAAATATGTCTGTCGTTAGAAATTGATTCGGTAACTTTGTGCTGTTAAGTTACGATTTTGTCGATGCTGTTGGTCTTATAAATTAAATTAATATCGTAATAATAATTAATATTAATATCGTTTTCCTGTGCCGTGTCTCATTGTTTAAAGTGCGCTATATAGAATAACGTTTTTTAATGTCATTTCGCACATCGACGTTCGCGTACTTTTCCAAATGAAAATACAGTAAAAAGAATTGTCACGTGTTTCGTACATTTGCATAAATTCTAAAATTAGAAGCTGCGGTCGTACCGACGCTTTTTTGTTCTTGACTAAGTACAAATTGAATGAGTGTTTCTTTTTTTGGTGAATTATTAGCGGCAGGAAGAAATGGTGAGAGCCTCGAAAAACGTTCTCTCGGGAGGGGAACGGAACGGAATTCCAGCCGGGTCTCGTATCTCGTGTACCGCGTTAATTATCGCAATTGACTAATTGGCTCAATTGGGAAAGTTCTCGGTACGAATTGAGATCGACGCGACCGGCGATCGTAAATTTTTACCAGCCGTTTAAACACGATTCGAGGGCTCGTTTAGACCATCCTTTCCCGGAACACGACTATTCTAGAACGGCTCTAAATCTTCCAATTTAACCGGGGAACGAGAGCGGATCCCGCGGAACAGAATATTTCCTAATTCGTCGCTCGGTTTTCCTCGAGATTTGCGAAACTGTGTCCCGACGGTACAACGAGCTCGCGCGATTATGTACCCGCGATTGCGCGAGCGTTTCTTTCTTTTCAAAATTATGCAACGATATTCGATCTGCCGGTACATAGCTATTTTCTCGAATCGTAAATATGTACTACTTTTCAGCCGTTCGTTTCGCGTTCGACTGCGTCTGTCGCTGAAAGTAGCAAACCGACGTGTTAAGAATTCATATTTTTAATTCTGTCACATCCATGAATGATTTTCAAACGATTTCTAAAAATTTAACTTCCGACAGCTGCTGCCGGTATAATTTTTCATACAAATCATTTTTTAGAAGTTGATGCGTTAATTAGTCTTTCGTGTATCATTTACACAGGAACGTCTTTACAGTTATCTTTGCAGATAATTATTGTAATGTAAACCTTCGACTCTAATTTTAAAAACGGTGTCGTAGAAGTATGTGTCGGAAATTAATATTTACATAAGCATTGAACACATACTAGTGTTGTAGAATAGGTATTTACTTGCAGCAACTTTAACAGCTGATTTAAGCTCGTGAAACTAATGTTAGCACGTTAAGCGCCATGCCAGTCACCGGTGACTGACACTATACATAGTTCCCGTTCGGACCGCGTCAGTGATTAACGACATACAATCTAAAATATGACATTCTTTCATATAAATAAATTTGTAATAATTCGCAGATCATAAAAGAATCTATCGAAATATTATTTGTTAACAAAAAAAAATGTGAATATGTAGTTGTAACACAGGCTAAACGGAACAGAGGTCACAACAAGCTTGCCGTGTAATTAAACGTCATTTTGACGGGTTCCGTAAATCTAGTGTTAAACAATATTTGCAGACAAACTTTCTGGCTATCAAATGACGTTTTTAATTTACAATTATCCATATAGTAAAGATACATTTATACAATTTATATGTTACATGCGGCAAACGTTACAATAACACTTGCTAAAAATCAGAATAAATATCTTATTGTTATTTTTATAAACTAATATAAAACAGCTGTTTTTCGTGCTCCGTAAATCTAGTGTCAAGGCACTAGTAAACCTCTCGGATGACGGAAGTTGGTTCCACATCGACTAAAATTATAATCTATTTACACGATCTCTGATAAAAAAAGTCGCCGTTTGATTAAAAAAAGCGCGTTAAAAAATTGTCCGAAAAAATTGATACATAAGAAATCCAAGAACGAGATCGTTCGTCGATGCAAAAGTTCAAACTGTAAACATTGGAAATTAGTTTAAAAATGTATCAGGCACTTTCCGTTACAAAAATCCATTTATTAGACAGCACGCGAATGACTTTGGAACCCCGAAAGAAAATCGACGGGTCCCCTCGTATCTTCTAAACAGTTATGGTTACGCCCCCCGCGGTCCGGGGCCTTTCCTGTCTTTATTTATAGAAACGCTGAATTGTTTCTGCGCTCGAACAGTAAGTTCGCTATAGTCACGCATCGATGATCAAACAGTAAAGATATTGTACTCGCCTCTACGAACAGACTCCACCTTTCTCGATTCAGCCCGGAATTGTCTTTTCGGCTGGCCGCGCGACACACCGACGCGTTCCGCGGAAATCGCGGGAGAGCCGGCTGACCGTTCGCCGGTTTCGCTGCGGCGGCGGCAGCAACGTATAAACGCGGATTTACATTTGCCCGATAAATAACGACCGCTTAAAGCCCCCGGGGCTCGGGAAAAGCCGGGGCGCAATTAGATCCGCGCGCGCGGGCGTTTATTTCGGTCGGGATTTTCGTTCGTGCGAAAGTCAAATTCACCGCGTCCCCAATTATGGCTTTACGAGCACAGGAGAGGGCCCGCGGGTTCTCTCGTGCGCGCTGGCTGTATATTGCAACGTTTACATTAAAACTATCGAGTTATTTTTACACGTCGAGGACGCTGCGCGCGCGAAACAAAGCCGTTCGAGTCTGGATATCGCAAGAGAGAATGTAGGAAGAGCGATCGCGCGACCCTGAATGCCTGCCGTGAACAAACATTTCGTTTTGGATGAGCCTCGACAAAACCCTAAGGTGCCTTAATGAGTCTTGAGCGATGAGAAACTCGGCTGGGAGAGGGGGGGGGGGTTGTGACGGCAAGGGAGAGAGATAGAGAGGATGATAGATAGATGGAGAGAGAGAGAGGGGGAGAGAATGATAGAGAGAGAGAGAGGGAGAGAGAGAATATGAGAGAATGAATAATGATAGAAAATGAGAGAGAGAGAGAGAGAGAGAGAGAGAGAGAGAATGATATATATATATATATATAGCTCTCATTCTCTCTTTCTCTCTCTCTTTTTATCTTTGAGTCTTTCTCATATATATATTACTAAGAGAGATATTAGAACGAGAGAGAGAGACAGGGAGGGGGAGAGAGGGAATGAGAAAGCCAGAGAGTGAGAGAGCCAGAGAATGAGAGAGAGAGAGAGAGAGTGCGAGAGAGCCAGAGGACGAGAGAGAGAGAGCGAGAGAGTCAGAGAGCAAGAGAGTCAGAGAGCAAGAGAGAGAGAGAATGAGAGAGAGAGAGAGAGTGCGAGAGAGCCTTAGAGAGCGAGAGAGAGAGAGAGTGCGAGACTTAGAGCTAGAGAGAGAGAGAGAGAGAGCAACATAATCGTTAACACAAGCCTGTATTAATAATAACCACTGCAAAGGTTTCTTTGTCAGCCGGCTTAGACCCTGATCAAACGATTCATCTTCATACATCTTTCAAACGCGAAGTACGGCGCGCATAAGTAAATACTTGGAATATGAAAAATGATCGTGTAACTGTCCGTAGTTCATGAATAATTCATGGCAATCTATCTTGCGTTCGTGTTTTTCGCTCGAGTCACCTTGATCCAAGACGAATTTGTAGTTGCTCGCGGAGAGGATCGGCTCCCCCCCCCTCACCCCCACCCCTTACCCGAGGTTTCCGATCGGCGTCCACGTTTCCGTTCTCCTTTTCGAACGGCATCGCACCGGTCGCGAGCGATCGTTATTCTCTTTTTTAATTTCCAGTTCGCTTCTGCCGGATTTATTTCAAGATGCGTGCATGCGAAGTGGGTCACCGCGGCTGCAAAGACTCTCTCGGTACGATTTTGTCGCGTCGAACGGATCAATTTTTGCCTAAACCCTGCGGGTATATCGGTGTATACGTATCCGACGATAAATCGCGTGTAATGTCCTCGGTTAGACGCGTGTCCGGCCGATCCGTCCGTGATTAAAATTGTAGAAAGTTCTGTTGCACACTCGGAACGGATATCAGGCGGTGTTATCTTCGGCATTATCGGGGCCTTTATCGCTGCGCCCCGTAACTTATCGCCCGATGAAAAGCAAACAGCCGTACGTTTCGAGCTGCACCGTTAATAAACGAACATTCCTTCTAATCCGTAGATACGGAGTAATCGGAAAGAATTTACTAAGCGACGGGGGGTACGCGACGGGACGGAGAGAGATATACGTTACGCTGCGAGCGTACCATTCAATACGAAGCGTAAGGAAAGGAACGAAAGCATTCGTCTCGCGCACGTTTTAATGGAAAATGAAAGATAGATACGCGTGCGAACGGTTTCCCACGAAATGCAAGAAATTTCGCGCGTTATTTACGAAATTCTAAAACGGCGTTTGATATACTCGACGAGGAAATGATTCAATGGAACAAATGAAGCAAGCCAAAAATACAAATCAAAATATGAGCCGTTTATTTTGAAAGTGGCATAAGTCACTTTGTTTTTAAGCCGATACATTTAAGGGTTTGCGTTTTAACACCGTTTAAAAATATGGATGCTAACTTTCGAGAAGATTTACTTGTATTTGTTATCTCAGGATACTGATATTTTTCTCAGTATAAATAATTTCGTATAAACATTAAAAAGTCACCACTTTTCATTACGGTGAAGTGACTTATGCCACTTTCAAAATAAACGGCCATATGTGGTTGCACAAAATTACGGTGGATTTAATCAACAAACGTAGGGCAACAGGTGACAATCTGGTCCCTTGCGATTATAGAAGAGTCGTTAAACAGATTCCACGATTTCACATTTGAAGCAACGATGTCTTTTCTAATTATTCGATACATAACCTCTCGTTAGTTTTAAAGGGCGACAAACACTAGTCACTCTTACCGCTCGATAATTGTTAACCCTTTGTAGTCTATCGGGACATATGTGTCCACCTATAAGAAATACAGAACGATGTGTAGTTTTTTGGAAATTTTATGGAAAATATTTTTTCCAATGGACTATAAGGGTAACACGAATTATGGTTTTTTTATTATAACAAAATATATATTTATATATATATAATATATTATATATATATATATATATATATATTTTTTTTATAACAAAATTATTTTTTCCATAGAATTATTTGTCATCAATTATTTGTCAGGCATTTGTTTCCATTTGTTCAAGCATACTTTATTATTGCACAAAATTATACTTAGAATGAAATACTTATGTACGTTGAATGGCATAAAACACACGCGAGAGAAAACACAGTAATATATTATTACACGACGAAACAAACTGAAATAATAACAGAGCACAGCCAAATGTATTTCGCACGCCTATTGGGTGAAATGAATCCCGTTTTTCCACAATACACGAGCGTACCAGCTTAGAATGCATACCACACGCACACGTTTGTTTACATGTGACCACATAACCTCTCAGTTTGGTCGTGAAGTCGGGCCGACACTAATAAAATCAACATTTCTCATTATTAGCATCTACATGCACGTAAAACTTGACTTCATATATTACACAAATTAACGAAAAATAAATCAGACTTCAAAGGATTGAACAATAATTACTAGTTCCGTTTCAACGCGAGATTGCCCGAAGACTTCGTCCAGAGAACTCGTGTCCCAGCAAAGTAGCAGAAGCCGCTGATCACACAGCGAACAGACGCATCTTGATTAATGTGCCCCATCATCGTTGCAATTCGACTGCCCATCGATCAAGAGCTCGCCACCAGTTTCCTCGGAGGTTCGATCGAAGCTCGCGACAATAACAGCCCGAAAACATAGTCGAACGGTGGCGAGCCGGGCTGGAGATCTCTCCTGGTCGACCTTGCATTTTTATTTAACCAGCCAGCGGGCACGCGAAGCGAAATAGTGAAGTAACTGTGGTCGGAACAGTTGCCAACGGGCACCGCATAATTTCCACGAAGCCGACTCGCGCGACCCCGTTCTCTAATTGATCGATCTTTAATTAACTCGCCGCGATCTACGCGGCGTATGACGATTATCCTGGGCCCCCGGGTCGCCAGGAAACGGTCGAGGGGGGCGGGGGAAAGGAGGCCCGAGCCTTGCGAGCCGGCGGTTTCGTCCGGCAGCAGGAAAGAGGAACGACGTTGTTTCTCTCCGTTCTCTTCTTCTTCTTCTTCTTCGTCTTCTGCTACGTCTTCTGCTACGTCTTCGTCTTCCTCCTCTTTTTTTCTCTTCCATTTACCTTGGCTTCGGTGGAATGTAAGAGATAAGTGGTCGCGGACAACAGGAAAGATTTCTTTTTAAATGGAAATATCGTGTACGCGTTGTGGCCGAGCTCTCCGCGCAGGTGCGCGAAAAACTCGACGTTCGCGACATTATGCTTCTGCGACGAAACTTGTCGCGAACAACGTTAACACGTCGAGCGCCGCGTTCGTCAAATATATGGGTGACACTAATTCTCGACCAATTTTCAACATTCATTTTCGTTGTGATGTATTCGAGCGAACTGAATTTGACTAGGACGTGTTTCGGACGCGAAAGGGTTCTAATCGTAATAAATTAATATAATTAATATAATATAATAATATATAATATAATATATAATATAATATAATATAATTATAATAAATAAAATAAATTTTAACTTTCTAGTTTCGGTTCGATTCATTGAATTGCATTGAATTGGTGGGAATTTTAACGGTTGATCTTCGGCGCCGAACGTGTTGACGACTAAGAGAAACGTTTTTTCCCAATTTTAAAATTGGCGATCGTCGTATTTAATTATAACCTTAACTGCATTTTTTTATACAGAATCTCAAAATAGAACGTGCGCCGAACGCAATTACGAAAACGGAAACGTTTAGAAAAAGAAAGGATTTAGAAATAAAACGTTCGCGGACTGTACTCTGTTATTATTTCAGTTTGTTTTGTCGTGTAATAATATATTACTGTGTTTTCTCTCACATGTTCTATGTCATTCCACGTGTAAGTATTCCATTCCAAGTATAATTTTGTGCAATAATAAAGTATGTTTGAACAAGTAAAAACAAATGCCTGACAAATAATTGATGACAAATAATTCTATAGGAAAAATAATTTTGTTATAATAAACCAATGAATAAAAGACATTGCACAATAAGCCTAACCATAATCCGTGTTACCATCATAGTCCATTGGGAAAAATATTTTCCATAAAATTCCCCAAAAAACTATGATTTTTATTTATTTTACTTCTAAACAAACTAAAATAAACAGTTACATACTACATATTTACTCTTAGCAATCTTATGGTCCTGCAAGGGTTAAACGTTTCGTCGATCGTTCATCCTATTACATAAATTAAGCGTCATGACGTTTGCTATGTTTGAGAACAGGTCCTGGTCGTTTTCTGCACGCTTGCTCCATCTTATGGATAAATTCGTTTTAAATAACGGTTTCGACGCAGTGATGGTTTTCGAGGTGTTGTAACAGCGTGCATTGACCATACGATATTAAAATTTGACGAGATCTTCCTGCAACAGAAAATAATTTTACTGTCAGTATCTAGCTGCAACCGTAACATCTTTCCTTAAAACGGAACAAGTCGTTTCTTTAACCTCAAGAGTGTCTTTTAAATTGAGGTAAAAGAAGAACGCACCTTCCGATGTCGCTTCTAATTTCACGCGTTGATATCGATCAGTTATAATAACCTTTTCTTAATTTCGCAAGGTGATATTATCGATATCCAACGCGACAAAAGATTCGAACTTAGATTTTCGTTAATTTCTGTTACATCTGAAGTGGTAAGTTTTACGTACATCTAGATGCTACTAACAAGAAATGTTGATTTTATTAGCGTCGGCCCGACTTCACGACCAAACTGAGAGGTTATGTGGTCACATGGAAAGAAACATGTGCGCGGTATGCATTCTAAGCCTGGTTTATTCGTGTATTGTGGAAAAACGGTATTCATTTCTCTCAATAAGCGTGCGAAATACATAGGTGGGACACATATCTCCCGATAGATTAGAAAGTGTTAAGATAAATAATATAGCGTACAGGTATGTTTTATAAGATAACAATCAACTTGTGGTACAGTAAATTCTCTCGAATCGTCTCTCAGCTTGTAAACAAAAATGAACAATTTGTGAAAAGGACATACGATTACATATAATTATATTAAATTATAATCAAATAACCTGACATAACCTCAACAATCGGCAACTATAAAAACGAGCGTCGAACGAACGTATCTTCTCTTCACAAATTGTCCATTTTTGTTTACAAGCTCAGAGACAATTGCCGAGAATTTACTGTATCGTTATCTACTACGAAACGTACACTTCAAAAGATAAGTACACGACTAGTTCGATTCCTAGACTATTTTAACATGTTGAATGTGCCACGGGGGTCACCGATGACCGGTGCGCCCAAATTGATAGAAATATATATATATATATATATATATATTTTTTTTTTCGTGGCTCATTTCATTCTAATTTATATGTAGAGCGAGCGATGTATTATAATTTATAATTTATTATATATAACAATTATACATAATAATAATATATAACAGTAATATATAATAATCATATACAATAATAATATATAATAATTATATATAACAATAATAATAATGCATAATAGTTATATACAATAATAATATATAATAATTATATTTAATAATAATAATACATAGTAATTATATACAATAATAATATATAATAATTATATATAATACTAATAATATATAATAGTTATATACGATAATAATATATAACAATAATATATAATAATTATATATAATACTAATAATACATAATAGTTATATATATATATAATTTAAAACAAATGTCAATATCTAAAATTTTGTATTACTACCAATTTTGATAGTGATCTCTGTCGCAATTAACATGTCAAACATGGTTATACACTGTAACTTATCTATTGCAGATAATATTTCAACATTGTACGCATCACACAAAAGAAAATTCATCGTGGCGCCACGGACAGTTTCTGTAAAACCAGCGTGGCATTTAAAAAAAACCAGCCGACCGCCGGGTGCCGCAATAACAATTATCCTCGCATCGTGGATAAGAGAACCTGTCGCCCCAACAAATTCGATAGAAATTCGAAGCACTCTTTAAGCTGCGTATCCGTTCGTCTCGTATCATCGTATCGTATCGCTCTCGCGTATCATCGTGCACACCGCACATACGGTACTCAATTATGATACGGCGTCAGCGATACGATGCGACGATACGTAGCAAATGGATACGCAGTTTTAACAGAGCTATTCAGCCCAGCTGCGTCTCTCCGGCGATGAACAAAACATCATCGTTGCCGAGTAAACCGGCGTGCGAACAGCGCGCGGGACACGTTGATACGTATCCTATACGCGCGCATTAAAGGCGGAGGCCTCGGCAGTCCCGCTAATCCTGCAAAGGACAAAGCGCAGGAATGCCGCAATCACGCGGAAAATCTATAAATACACGGTGCGCCCGTTGCGAAATTCATCAGGCCGCTTTTCCGCGCGGCGATCCGCGAAGCGGCGCGGCGCGGCGCGGCACGGCTCGGCGTCCCTGAGGACGCGCGCGAAGCGTATTTCGATCCGCGAGCATAATGAGCGAACGCCAGAAGCGTTCCAGCAAAAATATACGACGCGGTTTACGATTCGCTCGGCGCAACGATAACGAACCCTGCCCGGTGGATTCCATGAACGCCACCGTGAGCCCGATCGTAATGTTGTTTTCTGGATGCTTTTTGCTTCTAATAGGACAACGTTTGAAGGTCAGGGGGGTTCACGGGAGGGCCGCGTACATGTACTCCGCCTCGAATGATATTCCCGAGCGGATCTCTCTCTCTCTCTCTCTCTCTCTCTCTCTCTCTCTCTCTCTCCAGTCCTTTTATGCGGCGAGTTTATTTTTCGAACGTTACGACTATCTTCAAACTGTTAGTCGAGTCATATTTCGTGCCTCGATGCTCGCACAGCCGTAATTACAAGCGGGAAAGAACGATTTGATTTCAGTTCGCATCGCCGAGAAACGTGGACGAGGTGCAACCAGCGCCGACACACGCATTCCGATGCAATCGCGGCGTGGAATTTGTGGAAAAACTCGGCTGGGGAAGACGAAGTGTCATTGGTGGGCGAAGGATCGAGCACAGACGGCCGGGAGGACATTGATGAACAAGTTAATGACGAGAGAATCCGCGTCAGGCTAATAAATTGTTTCGTTCTGGCAGTTAACGATCTTCGGTATTTTTTCTGTTTTTCTTTTTCGATTTGCAATTTTCTTCATCCGCGGAAAGAGCAGCCGCGGAATAAGCTTGCGAGAGAACGCGAATTGTAAAGCGCGGTGAAAAGACTTTAAAAAATCTGGGTACATTGGACGCGTCGAGTGCTCGTTACTTTCATTTGTCACGACTGCGAATCCACGCTCTCTAATCTTGATTAGAAATACGGAATGCTGAAAGATGGGAATGTGATGTTAAATATTATGTTTCCTAGCAAAGTGCTTCACGACTCTCCGCAACTGATAGAATCCGTTCAATTAAATGTTCGACAATTCGCGGCTCATTTCATTATGATTTATGGAGCGTGCGATGTATTATAATTTATAATTTATTATATATAATAATTATACATAATAATAATATACAACGATAATATATAATAAACATATACAATAATAATATATAGTAATTATATATAATAATAATAATACATAATAGTTATATACAATAATATATAATAATTATATATAACACTAATAATACCTAATAGTTATATACAATAATAATATATAACAATAATATATAATAATTATATAATAATAATAATAATAATATATAATAGTTGTATAATAATAATAATACATAATAATTATATATAATAATAATAATAATTTATATAATAATAAATAAATAAATAAATAAATGTATATAATAATAAAAATAATTATATATAATTTATTATTATTATAATTTATCGACGGTGCGACACACCAATAAAAATTACAGATTAGCCGGCAACGTGAACGCGAAACGAGAAAAGCAAAAATTTACCCGATCTCCTCGCGCATTTTCCACGGATTCTATAATCCCGCTCTAATGCGTACCTCATTACATTCGCTTCACATAAACAGTTACTAACCAACTGGCAGGCAGTGCCGCAGATTTTATGCATTCACAACAAAACGGAAACGGGCGAAATCTAAACATTATTTTCAACAAGCTTCAATTGAACCGATTAACGAAAACGAACAAAAAAAAAGAATTCCATTTAGCCACCGTTTCTCGCAATCCGCGCGTAATGCTTCTTTTACTCTTATTTTTTGTTTTTTTGATTTTTTTTTTGCGCGCGAAGAATCCGCGATCGTGCAACACAACGATCATCATTACACGGCGAATCTTCGCGAGCATATTCTCGTTTCCATAAGCCATTTCACGTAAACCGGAATAAGGAGAAAATTGATTACGCAGGCAAAAAGGTATCCTCGGCTAGGAACGGAGCAGTATCATTAGCGTGTCTCGATGTAAACATTTTCTTGCGTCCTGTTCTACGAACGCCGTGTACGCTGGACAAAGATCCAGCGGCAGCAATAATAACCGTGCGATTGAATCGGCGTTTTTTTTTTCGTCGAACTCCGTACAAAAGTCGGGACGACCGAAGAGAGTAACGCGCGCGCGCGCGCCTGCTCGCGCGCTTAGATCTCCGGCGTGGATCAAAAACTCTTATGAAAGCGTCCGCGCGGCTCGCGATAAATACGAATCGGAGCTGCATGCATACGTGTGCGCGCGCGCGCGCGCGTACACGCGTGCATACGCGCGTACGTGCCCGCGTGCGGGACAGAGGCGTCGGTGGTTGTACCGGGAGGCAAGAAAAAGCCAGTCTTATGCAATACCAACAGAACTGCGATTCATTAGTGCCGCGAGTCCGGTTTCGTGCTGAAATACGAGGCGGCAGAAATAGCCTTGCCGGAGAACGGTGCCCACCGGTTAGAAAAACAATAACCGGCCACTGAATTTCCTGCGGCGCGCCGGCCGCTCGTGCTGGAATCGATCGGCCGCCTGACATTATTTTTCGGAACCGCTCGCTGAAATTATTCACGTGTGTCTTCGCGCCGTTTAACAGATAACGCCGGGCCGGCCTGTTATCGCGAGATATCGCGCCCGATCGCTTTCGTTTGATCCTGCTTTTTCCTTGTTTTCCCAGCCGCCAGTCCCGGCGAACCAGACGACTCTATCGCGCGATCGTAGACGAAAGCTTGCCAGTGTCATGCCGCTTTAGGAATCTTAACGCTAGATTTACCGAATCCGTCGTAACGACGGGTCACTAATTTTTTAATTTACGATTATTATTAACAAGTGTTATTAATTTACATTAATAACACTTGTTAAAAATCAGAATAAATGTGTTATTGTTACTTTTATAAATTAATCTAAAATAGCTGTTTTTTGTGCTCCGTAAATCTAGTTCTGGTATGTTATAATATAATATAATATAATATAATATAATGTAATATAATATAATAGAATATAATATAATATATATATTAATATATATTATGTTGTATCCTAAATATGTTAGGATTTGAAAGTGAATTCTGCGATATTAGGCAGAATAGAATCTGTCTCTTATACACATCTAGATGTGTATAAGAGACAGATTCTATTCTGCCTAATATCGCAGAATTCACTTTCAAATCCTAACATATTTAGGATACAACATAATATATATTAATATATATATTATATCTGTCTCTTATACACATCTAGATGTGTATAAGAGACAGATTCTATTCTGCCTAATATCGCAGAATTCACTTTCAAATCCTAACATATTTAGGATACAACATAATATATATTAATATATATATTATATCTGTCTCTTATACACATCTAGATGTGTATAAGAGACAGATATAATATAATATAATATATATATTAATATATATTATGTTGTATCCTAAATATGTTAGGATTTGAAAGTGAATTCTGCGATATTAGGCAGAATAGAATCGTCGTCTGAATATCTTTCTTTTCTACAGCTAAATCTAACCGGAAACATAATTCATGGTCAATCAATACCATCAACGATATTAAAAATATTTTTATATAAGTATTTTTATATATTATATTTTATTTATTATTAATATTTCGTATATTGTTAATATTTTGTATATTATTACTATTTTGTATATGATTAATATTTTATCTATTATTAACATTTTATATATTATCAATATTTTATATCAATTATTTATTATTAATATTTTATATATTATTTTCATAGTTTTCAAGGAAGTTGAAAAAGCATTCATTTTATATATTATTAATATTTTATATATGATTAATACGTTACTTATTATTAATATTTTATGTATGATTAATATT